GGCCAGAGACGCAATAGGACTTACTCATGATCATGAAATTAGCTAGTGGTTAAGGGAAATTAGAATTCCTTGACTCTGATTCTCAATCTAATATTCTTTCTCCTGCACTGTATTTTTTATCTCTGGGAATATCTCAGACTTTGGAAGCAGAAATGAGGTATGAAGAGGTAGACTTGGTTTAGTGGAAGAAATTCTGGTATGGGGATCAGGAGATCTGGGTTCTAGAATTGGCTCTGCTATTGTTGCTGTGTGACCTTGAGCAAACATTTCTCCTTTTCTGGACTTCCCTTTCCTTTGTAAAATTAGGAGGATTGGACCAGATGGATTATTAAAATATCTCCAGCTCAGAGATTCTGGATTCACTGAGATCCCTTTCTGTCCTAATGGTGTATCTGAACATCCTAGGTACTGTTTTATGACCTCGCTCCTTCCTAAAATGTTCAGAATTAATTCTTTGCCTAACTTTCCAGGCCTGGCAAACACCTAGACTATATCTGTCCCTGTGCCTTGACCTTGACCAGTTCTATAGACCTAGCTTTCTTAGGTCCTGAATGAAGAACCCTGGATAGAAATATGTCGGATGGCAGGGTAAATTTTTCATGGGTTGCACTGGGTGTGCCCTACCGGCTCTGTGCTCTTTGATTGGCCAACATGCCTTTGTTTTCTAAATGGATTGTCTGTATTTCTCTTAGCTAAAGGCTTTCAAGGAGGAAGAGAAAGCCAGGGAAGCCCTCAGGCAGCAAAAGCGGAAGATGAAGGTATGGAGCCCTGTGGTGAAAGTGGGCAGAGGCCCCAGGCTAGTTTTTGGATGAAAGTTTAGGCTCTTACACCCCAGCAGGTTTTTTGTTTTTGCATTTTCCTGTTTTGGTTGCAAACTCCTTTCCTTTTGGGTATAGGCAACATAGAACAGTAGATGGAATGCTGACCTTGGAGTCAGAAAAGTCAGGTTTCAAGCCCATTTCTGCCGCTGGCTATGACCTTGAGAAGGTCACTGATATCACTTCTAACTTTGGGAATTTATGACATCAAAAAAATTGTGTTCCATAAGGTTCTTGTGATTCTGAATGCTTAGGTGCTGCTGGGTAGGATGAGGTGACCTGGGTAATCCAAAACCTGAACTTGTGTTTTGTCCGTCTTTGTAGGCCTCAGGAGAAAGATACCACATGGACCCCCTCCAGGAGCATATCTGTGGGGCCTATCCCTATGCATACCAACCAGTGCCTCCCCTCCTGCACCACCACGGTTTTGAGGACTGGTCAGAAATCCGATACCCACCACCACCAGTGGCCTCAGAGCATCCACCTCCAGTCCCCAACTCCCGCCTGTTCCACCTGGTAAGTTGCTTTTCTTGGCATTGGCCTACCCGATTTAGTTCTCCCCTCAACATTTTTTCCGATTTCCCCCTTCCTTCAACCTACACCTACAGGGTTAGTGTGCTTGGACCTAGTATAGGGGAACTAGACCTCCAAGGTCCCTTTCAGCTCTACATGGATAGTCCTGTGAATTTTGCAGCAGAGTCAGTACAGTGAAAATAGGAATCTTCTCAGTGCCATAATCACTGGTACCAGAACTGAGTCCTAGCTAGGAGGAGAGCCCTGCCTTTGATTCTGGTCTGTGGCTAGGAAATTCTGGCCTTTCTGGCCCTCATGTCATTTCAGAATCTTGGGATTCATTGAGAAAAGATTGAAGGATTAAGCGTGAGAAAACAGCAAGGTTTGGTTTAGCCAAGTCCAAAGTAGATCAGCCATTTCTGTCTAGAAATATTGGTGTATTTTGAGTCTTCTGTCTGTGTTATTTCCTCTTCAGTTTTCAGGTCTTGTTGACTTCTTCATCCAAGTGTTTTCCTGTCCAGTCCCTTTCTGTGCAGGTCCTCAGGGCTCATTTACAGCAGCAGCCTGTAAGATTGTCTCCCGCCTTTTCCCAGCCTCTTCCCCTCCAATCCACCTTGCACCTGACCAGTTGACGTTCCTTAAGCAGTTTTATTTCATGTCGCCTGAAGGCGGCGTGTTCTAGCAGAAGGAACGCTGGTCTTGGAATCAGGAGATGTGGAGGTTGAGTCCGAGCACAGAAATCTGTTGGCTAGGTGATCTTTGGTGAATCGCTTTGCTTCTCTGAGGCTTGGTTTCATCATCTTTCAAACGAGGCTGGTCCTTGCAGTCACCTAGCTCACAGGGCTGTGATGTGCATTTGTGAACCTCAAAGCATTGTCCAAATGTGAATCATCCTTAATGATGGTTTCCTGTTGTCTACTTCATCACGTTAAAATCCTGCTTGGCTTCAAGCCCTTCCACAATCAGACCTTGCCCATCGGATCTTATCTCTCATTTCTCTAAGAGAAACATCTTCAGAATAGCCCTGGCTCCCTTTTGAACTTGACAATGCAGGGCTTGGTCCCATTTGCATGTCTTGTTCCTCTTACCAAGAGTGCCCTTCTTCTCCCTTTTCACTTCTTCAGATCCAGCCTGCCTTTCAAGATCCATCTCTTCTATAAAAGCTTTGATGGCTTTATACCTTCCTCATCTCTCTTCTTAGTACTTCCAGGTGGTTTCACATATGCATGTATGTTTTATTTCCACAGCTTGATTATGAGTTCTTTAAGGTTAGAAGCCATGTCTCATGCTTCTTTTGTATTCCCCCCAGAATCTGGGACACGGCTGGGCAAGTTTAATAGGCCCTCAGTGCAGATTTTCTGCTCAGAATGTTGGTGGGTTAGTTAGTGCTTGTGATAAATATGAATGATATTTCAGCCAGAATATGCTTGGCGTCCCCCATGTGGTGTGATGAGGAACCAGAGCTCCCAAGTTGATGTTGCCCTGGTCCAGCCTTCAGAGCCTGGTAAGAATTCCCTGATTGTCAGTGTCGATTTGGTACAGTTCATCAGTCATTTTTAAAACACCTACTGTACATAGAGCATAGAGCTGGGGGGATAAAAAGTATAGACTAGGATATAGTCCCTGTCGTCAGAGTTTATTGGCTAGTAGATTCATTTAAGTGACATCCACCTCAGCTGTAGGTATTGGCCAAATGAATTGAAGGGTCTTTGAAGATCACTGACTCAGCTTGGTGGGGACAAATGCTTCAGGTGACTCTGGCCTGAACAGGAGCGGGTAGAAGGTAACTGAGAAGAAGTAAAACTCAGAGCTCCCCTTCACGCCTTCCGTTTTTCTTACTTACAAATACTGCTCAAGCAGCGGGCACAAGACCTGTTGGTTTCTCAGGTGATGAGATAGAGGGATAAGGGGGCCAGGATTTCTAGCAATGCAGATAAAGGGGCTTAGGAAGAAATGAGGGGACCCATTGTGACCATTCCTATGTAACCTGGCTACCTTCATCTTTCAGAACCGACTGATCACGGATTACCAAAGAACTAGAGGCCAGTGTAACCGTATGAGCAGAGCTGCTATTGAAACAAAATTGATGGGGCAGTGGTGGGGACAGGGCCTTGTGTCTGTCCTCTTCACCTCACCCCCAATCCGGACCCTTCACAGACCACTGGGTTTTCTGCTTGTTAGGAGCTCTTTGTTTTCCAGTGAGAGTGCCTGTGGAAGACTTTTATTTCATGTGTAGAAATAGGAAAGGTGGGATGAGAGGGGAACTGGGGTCTAGATCTCAGAGAAAAGGAGAATGAAGCTACATGGCTCTGACACTCTACAGTTGGTCAGAATCCTCCAGGTAACACTGTCAGGAGCTACTGACTGTAGTTTTCCCTTTTCTGACCTTTCTTCCCAAATGGACATATCCTTTCTTGAGCCAGTGTAATATGTGTTGGTCAAGGTATAGATCTTTGTTTTCAGACTTTAAAAGTCACTTTCCAGCATCCCCTCCAGAACAGTGCTGCACTGTTCTGGTTTAGGAGAAGAGTTGACAAGATGTTAATGTTTCTGATTAAGAGTAGCCCCATTTTTGAGCCTTAACTTTTCTTCCAGCACCTGGTCTTTTCCCTCCAGCCATACTTTGCAGGTTCTTCTGTGCCTCAGTGGTGTGGCAAGAGTGTTTGGGTTCTCTGCTTGTGGTCAACATGGTCTTTCCCTCAGGAGTTCCCAAAATTTGAAGTGGACTTGGGTGTGGCTTTGGGATGAGAATAAGTAACAGGAGAGCACCGTGGTGGCACGGACTGGAGTGTGATTGGGTGGCCCACGCCAGCTGTTGGGACAATTCTGAGACAGAAAACAGAGTCAAAGTTGTTACCTAGTTTTTCTTCATGGCCTTTTTCTTACCTCATGGAGGGCTGGAGTGTGGTGCTCTGTGCTCTCTGACTTCCTAAGTCATTCCCCAGCCTGTCCGCTTTTGTCACTTAGCCCATCTCCCATTTCTTCCTCCTTTCCCAGAATGAGCCTGGGGATGAGCTTTCCCATTCCCTTCACCTTTGGGAAGAATCAGCCAGGGGCTTTGTGGAGCCAGCCAAGTTCCCACTATCTTCTGAGACGCAGGCCCCTACCACAGCCACATGCTCTGACAGCTGTTCCTTCCTTAGGAAAGTCCCACTTTTCTAGATGAATACTTTGGACCCAAGCTAGTGAAGCACCTTGGGGTCTCAGACTCTGGAAGTCAGCACATTTGAAAATGAAAAGATAAGCCCTTGGCCTCTCACCAGGGCAGTATGTTAAGTTATGATTTTCATCTCTCAGAGTCGCAACACACTAATTGTTTGGGGCTGAAGGGCTACCTGTGTGCTCTTCTCAGACCCACTGGCCAGTCTCCCACTGATCTCTCCTCTCTGAGGTCAGGGACTGTTGTTTGCCACATCTATTTCTTCCCCAGGACTCTGTACATAGTAGGTCTTTAATAAAGAGTTGTTGAATGAATTTTCCAGCTCTGCTGTGTGACCTTAAGCAAAACCAAACCTTAAACCCCCTTTGGGGTTCTCAGTTTTCTATAAAATGAGATGGTTGGACTCATGGGACATTTTGTGATGGACCCAATAATGCAAAGCTGGTAGCTTCTAGTTCATTCCCCTCCCCCCCAAATCCCTGAAAGGGAAGAAACATGGAAGTCTCAGGTGCTGCAGAAAGGTTTTTATTTGTCACCAGTGGGTATGACTCCAACGTAGGGGGGCCAGAGTGATAGGAGAGGGTGAGCGTCCCCCGTAAGGGGCAGCATCCCTGCTTAGGTGCCACGACCTGAACGCACGAAGGGGTCGTGACCCCTCTTGCAGGCTCTGATGGAATCCGCCCCGGAGAGGCTTTGGATCCCACCATCATAAAGATGCTACCCCTTAGCTGAGGACACTGTCTCTGTCCTTTCACACCAGTCTTTTCCCCTGGCAGAGCCCTTTAGGCAGCTCACCAGGGGGTGACTCTGTGGGGCGGGGTGGTTGAAAAGGGCTGTTCAGAGAAGGGAGAGAAGGCATTCATTTGTACTGGGCTTGGTTGATTTTCAGTGGGTCACTGGACTTCCAGGACCTCGTACTTCAGATGAGCTGAGGCAAAGGGGTCCACTGGGGAGTTGTGGGAAACTCCAGGACCAGAGTTCTCCAGATCTGAGAGGTTCAGTAACCTGACTTTAAAGCTGATTTTGCTCTGTGGGTTGGACTGGGAAAACATTAATATTGGAAAATGAGTTGAGTATTTAGTAGAGCAAGGACCTAGGTTATGGAGGTGGGTGTCTGTACCTGTCTCTGATCTCACGCACACCTAGGCACATAACCCCTGAAAATACATCTGTGTGTGTAGGCGTTCTGCTGTCTACCCCTGCACCCACACGTTCCCTGAACAGCAGCGTCTTCTGGAGTGGGGCCTCAGGCAGACGGTGTAGTCTGTGGGCTGCGGGGCTGGGACAGTCCCTTCCCTGAACAGTGAACCTTTTCTACTCCCTGAGGACAATGGTTACTTCTGCCATTCTTCAGAAATCCTGTCTTGGCTTCCACGCTTCCGCAGATAGTCCAGGATGTCCATCTTGACTGTACTGACTGTGGCCCGGTGGTACCAGCGCATGATGGGGACACCATCTGGCCCCACCAGGAACTTCTCAAAATTCCAGCGGATGTCATGGGCCTTTATAGGTTCCCAGAAGAGGTTTTTGGGTGTGCCCACGAGTTCAGAGGGGGCAGGGCAGGAATTCTGCAGGGTACATGGAAGCATAGAAATAATGAGTGCTATATCTTTTAGAATTAGACACTTCCCTGCCCCTCTCTTCCCACACTCCCCCCAAAATCCTATTTAATCGTCAAAACACCAGGTAAAGTACTAAGGTTCTACCCCACCCAATAACACTGGGCAAGTTACTGTTACCCATACTGTTATCCTCTTAACAGATGGCCCTTTGGGAACCCTGCAAACTTGGAACCTTTTCAGCATCAAAACTGGGAAGTACCTTAGGAATCACCTGAACTGGGCCTGTTTCCCAATCTGTAAAATGACGAGTTAGACCAAATAGTCTCTAATGTCCTTTCTAGCACTGATGTTAAAAAAAGGCCTTCAAGGTGCTCCAAAAGCAAGGTGGTTGATGCAGGAACCCTCCCTCTAGCATAGTGGAAATAATGTCAGCGCTCACTGGGGGCTGGCAGGGACGAGTCTGGATGGTTTGAGAAGCACTTTTCTCAAAACAGTGCTATAAGGTAAGTAACACAAGTATCAGTGAGAGGCAGTGTGGGGTAATGGATAGGGAACTGGCTTTGGAGTCAGGATAATTTGTGTTCAAGACCTGCCTCTGACATACAGTGGCTGTGTGATCCTGGGCAGGGCTCTTAACCTACCTCTCAGTGCTCTAGGCAGCTTTACTGAGCCTGTGTCAGAGAATGTGTTGATCTCCATTGATGAAGGAATTCTCCTTACTCAGTAGTTCTCTATACCAATGAAACCACAATTCTTGTTCCCATCCTCTTTTATGTGTGGAAAAACTGAAGCCAGAGATAGGAAGGTGATTCTTGTCCCACCCTTTGCATGACATGGTGCTGGAGGATTATAGTTGGCCTGCATTGGGAGACCCTGAACTGGTCCTGGAGGCTTAGGCTAAGCAACAGCTCTCTGTATCTCAGCCAACCTACAACTCTCATTCTAGCATTGGACCTCATCTCTTGGGAAATTCTGCCAATCAGTTTACCCTTGGAGACAGGGAAAGGATGAGAAAGAAGAGTGAAAGAGAGAGAGAGAGAGAGAGAGAGAGAGAGTGTGTGTGTGTGTGTGTGTGTGTGTGTGTGTGTGTGTGTGTGCTCCTGAATCGTAAGCCTCATGACTCCTCCCTACTAAAAGCAGCCTGAAGATATCCTAGGCTACCAAGGCATCAAAAGTTCAGACTCTTATTGTCTCGTTCCTCGCTCAAACATCCAGTACCCAATCCTAGAATGTTCCTCTCCCCGCTCACACCCCCTCCAACCAGCAGGCGGGATGATGCCAGGGTGACATGCCCTCTCTCTCTGTCTCTGTTTGTCTCTCTCTCATTTCTGGTTCCAGGTATAATACTGATCCCGCTTACGCTACAAGCTACCCTGAGTCTGTGGGCAAGGGGGTGAAGTTGGTTAGTCTGTCTGTCTTGTCTCTTTCTCTACCCACCGGCCCATGGACACATCTGTCCTTTAACTTTATTACCCCACTCCCCAACAGTGTTGCCCTTTGACCAGTGCTAGGGGGCTGCCCAGGTAATAAGGGGAATCTACCTCAACCCCTAAACAGTTCTGCCTGCCAGAGTGCTCGAGAAGCTGCTCGACTCACTCACCTTCAGGAATGTGTAAAACTTCTGTTCTTTCTCTCCATTCACATCTCCTTTCTCAAAAAGCTGGAAATTGGGCACAAAGCCCCCACCTGGGCGTACATGCCTATAGTGAACAAGAACGTGGTCAGATGGGTCTGGAACAAAAGCCAGCAAGGATAGCCAAGCAGGGCTTGGGCTGGGGGAGGGCAAGGCAGAGCAGCCCAGGGATACAGACGGGACAGAGACCTTTCTTTGGAGTATTCCCTGTTTGTGATATAATGACTAAATCCCACTCGGAAGGCTTTTTTTCTGGGTCTGAATTCATAGAGACTCAGACTTACTAAGGACCTTAGGGTTGAAATGGATTTTAATAGGATTGTATACTTAGAGCTGAAAAAAATTCCTTATTTTACAAAAGAAACTGGACCAATTTACTTGAGCTCACAGAACTAGAATTTGAACATAGATCTGCTAGCTCCAAGGCCAGTGCCCTTTCCATTATGCCCAGAGGTGCTGGGCACCCACCTTTTCTTCACCCACAGTTCACCATCCTGTTTTCCTGCAGGATCCGTTACCCAGGGCTCACTGTGATGCCCATGGCTGTCCTCTCTCACCCATCCGGGCTTCCCATCATAAGAGAGGGCCCTGAGCACTGCTGGGCTTGTTGACGTGATTCAGGGATGCTCACATCTCAGGGACCCCCAGAAATTGGGAAATACCTCCCCCCCCATCACCCACCAGGCCCAACTCACTTGAGGGCAGGAAGGATTTCTGAATTCTGTCCTGGTTCTTGCTTTCCAAATTGGTTGCTGGGGAATCCCAGGATAACAAGGCCAAAGGACTTAAATTCTTCCTGTAGTGCATTCAGTTCTGACCCAAAGAAAAAGTGGAGGAGGAGAGAAAGGGCCTTAATAGACGGGCGGAAGACCCATGTTCCAGCCCTGGCTCTTCCATTAACTTGCTGTGTAACCTGGTGAAATCACTTCAAGTCTGAGCCACAGTTTCACTGACTGTCAAATGGGGAGAATAATCCCTGCCCTTTTGTCCCTCAAGGAACATAGGATCATGGGAGTTGACACATCTGGAAGTGTCAGCAGAAAGCTCTGGATTTTTGCTGGTATAAACTTATGGTAGGGGTGGGAAGGGGTGGGGAGAAGGCTAGCCTCAGGTCTGAGAACCCTCCTTCTGGGCTTTTGAAATGATCTCATGTGACTCTGTGTGTGTGTGTGTGTGTGTGTATGTGTGTGCGCGCGTGCGAGCCAGAGAAGCACAGTGTTAAAAATGGAAGAAGCTGTGGACCCCGGGGGAGTCAGGAAATGGGTTCAGATCCTGCCTGGTACTTAATTACCAATGCAACTGAAATGGCCAATTTTGGGTCCTAGTTTCCTCATCTGTAAAATGGGGTAGTTGGACTAGATTATCTATAAGGCCTTTTCTAAAAACATGTCTCCTAAGGTAGCTTCCAGATCTGACATACTGTGTTTCAATGCCTCTTCTGGTTCTCCATTGGATTCTCCAAAGGGAAGGAGGGCTCCTATCAGGCTGGGATTTTTCTGAGAGACTCCTTATTCTCAAGCATAAACACTGTTCTCCCTGAAAGTAGAGCTGGGATGCAGCAAGAGAGGATACTCCCGCCCCGTCCCCGCCATCCCTCCAGAAATCAATAACTGCAATATGCTCAGCAGGTAAACAATCCCAGTCCACAGCTCCCGAAGGAGTTGGGATCGAGGCTTACCAAGGTACTGGACTGTCAGGCCTCAGTAGGTGGCAACATTGACGAAGAGGACATATTTGCCTGCATATTGCTTGAAAGGGATGTATTCATCACCATCAATGGTAAGGGCCCCATATTCATAGATGGTACCCGTAATCCCTGGGTAGCAGTCCATCTGAAACACAAGGAAAATGATGGAGGATAGGGGTTTTTAATAATAGCTTGATTCTGATAAAAAATGAGGAAACTTCGACAGGTATGAAGTCTTGCATCACAATTTTTGGCTGCCCACAGAGCTGCCGAAGGGCCCCTTTTTTTCCTATCCCTTTCGGGAGCTCCATTTGGCCTAGATTCTCCTGGCCCAAATACAGATGCCCCCTTCCTTCCACTTAGTCACCTGAGAAACAGAGTGGGGTTTTCAAAAGGACTTTACTAGTGATGAAGGGAATAGAGGATAAAATAGAAGCAGCATACATAGACTTGCTGAGTTAGAGATCCTGGGGATCTGTTGGTGGGGGAGAGGGTGAGGGGCCTCTCCCTGGCCTCACCTAACTCCATGTTCTGCTCAAAACTAGTTACCTTCTGGCTCCTGCCAACTTGCAGCTCCTGACATGGTTCAGGCCTCCACCCATTTTTGTGAATCACTGGTCATATCTTACCAAGAAAATGTTTACCCAAAGCCCGTTTGACCAGGTCCTCAGTCTCTTACGCACAGTAAGAGACCTCTGAACGTGCCTGGTCTTAAGCATATCCAGCTTGGGGGTGTTTGGAGGGTGATGGAAAGGGAATTAGTGATCTGAATATGATGATAAACTGAATGAATTGGGATGCTTATGCTGAATGAGGAGACTTGGGGAGACCTGATTACTGTCATCAAGTGTCATGGGAAAGAGGAATTATAACAATTATGGGGGCCCCAGAGGGGCCAATTGCAGGAGGACATAAGGAATAATCAGGGCTAGCAATGAAATAAGACTGTGGCATTGAGTGTTTCCTTCTGAAGGTCCACAAGCAAAGGCTGGATTCATTAGGAACAGTCATGGTTCAGATATGGGCTGAACTCAATGACTTTGAAGTCAGCTTGTACAGCAGGGGAATATGGATGGAACAGGCCCAGGTCTGGGTTGGTATCATCTCTACTACTGCTAGACAGCAAAATTCTTGAGAGAAGGAACCTCATTTTATCACATTTAATACGCATTTGTTGTACTGAACTGTTTCCATTGCTTAGGTGAAGGGTGTACATCTTGGTAAACCAGACGGGGATGATGTAACCCATTGGCACACAGTCATAGAAATGGACATGAGCTTTGGTTGACTTTTTTCTTTGGTTGACTTCCTTGTGAAGCAGTGTATGTCTCCTGGGCCTGCAGGTTCAGTTCCACCCTATTGTCCCAATTGCACCACAGCCTCTTTTTGGCCTGGGAAGTCAGTTCCATATTGGAATGCTTCCCACACACTAAGAGTTCTTGTACAAATTAGCTTTGACTCTCCAAACCAGAGCCAGCGAGCTTCTTCATAGTGCTAGCTCTATAGCTCAGCACACACACACACACACACACACACACACACACACACACACAGAGTGACAGAGCAAGGACTAGGGGCAAGTTTTTCTGATTTCCAGACTAACCTCTATTTTAGGGTCTAAAGGACCTAGTTTTGAGCATGGATGTAGTGAGAAGGGGCTTACTTAGTGAAAATGGTCAGGGGAAAAAATCTCAGGATTTGAAGGGAACAGAGATCACCTAGTCCAATCCCTTTACTTTAGAGATAAAGTAAGTAGCAGGTGTGGGGTTAGATGACGTTCTAGTTTTGACTTGACTTTAGGCAAATTGCTTTCCTTCTCTCAGCTCTACTCATTATTGTCCAAAAGAAAACCTTTGTTTTCCCTCCCAGGGCTGTCCTTAGAATTGATCAAATGAGAGATGAAAAACTAATTTGAATGATAAAAATCCAACAGAATAAGGACTGGATGATCTACCTCTCCAGACTCCATGATCAGTGACTTAAGGGATCAAACTGCCTACTGTTGCCAGGCTAGGAAAGTACTGAATCTTTTTCCAATTGGTAAGAAACAACTGCAGAGACAGATCAAGCATTCACCATCTCATACAATGAAGCCTTTAGAACCATGAGCCCTTTGAACTGTGCCTCTAGCACTTGAGACGAACCACATACTGTTGTCTCTACCCATGAGACCAGTGGCTTGCATTTGCAGAATGGCTAATTGGAATCAGGGCTAAGTCTGTGACCTGGGCCATGGTTTGGACTCTGTTAAATTCAACAAACATTAATTAAATACTTATTATATGAGAGGCGCTGTGCTAGGTGCTAGGAATAGAAAGTCAAAAATTAAACAGATGACTCTCCACTTTCCTGGGATGATATATAACATGGTCACAGAAAGTTGAGTATGAGGGGAGAAAGAACACCAACACTTAGTGGGTTGGGGGTGGTTACTAGGCAAGGCCTCATGCTCCTCCACGCCACCTGAGCTGAACCTCAAAAATGGGAATGATTCTGAAAGGCAGAAATGAGGCAGAAGTAGTTGCGAAGCATGGGAAGTGATGGCTTATATGAGTACAGAGACAGGAGGTAGAATGCTGATCTCAGGGAATTGCTAGTAAGCCTGTTTGGCTGGGCTATGGAGTACAAGAGGGGAGTGACATGAAATAAAGTTGGAAAGGTAAGCTGGACCCAGATTACAGAGAGCCGTAAACACAAGGATGAGTCAATGGGGAATCATCAGAAGTTTCTGGCTTGGGGAAGGTGGAGTAACATAGCTCTCAAGCTGTTGGAGACCCTTTGAGATCATCTAGTCCAGACCCTTCATTTTATAGATGAAGAGCTAAGGCCAGAGAGATAGTGACTTGCCTAAGGTCCCATAGGTAGTAATATGGCTTCGTCTGGCTTTGAACCCTGATCCCCAGATCCCAAATCCAGTGATTTTTCCACTGTAACATGCTGTCGCTAGAATAATAGTGTAAATGAGAGATGATGCAGGCTTGAACCAAGGTGATGGTCATTAAGCAGAGGGAAGATGAATTTAAGAGAGCTTATTAGGTGTTTTGATAGCATTTTGCTACCTTAGATTTGGAACCTGTTTGCCTGGAGGGATGTTAGTCTCCTCACCAGAAACAGGGAAGTTTGAAGAGGAGGCTGGCTTAGGGGGAAATCTAGAGTTCTGCTCTGGGTATGGTGAGTTTGAGATATCTAAGGTCTCATAAAGATGGAAGGCAATTGGCAATGCAAGGGCTCATGAAAGAGATCCTTGCTGGATACATAAATTTGGGAGTAGTCTTAGAAAGGATCATTGAACCCATATGATCACCAAGGGGGCAGAGTCCAGAGAGAGAAAGGAACAGGGCCGAGAACAAGTCCTTTGGAGACATCCATGCTTGAGGGGAGGAGGCAGCAAAGGAGCCTGAAGGGAGTGGTCAGAAGATAGGAGGACCAGCCTTTGGTAGTTTTATGGAAGTCAATGGAGGGGAAGTCAGTGGCTGCAGAGGCATAAGGGAAGATGAAGATTGAGAAAAAGCTATTGAATTAAGCAGTTGAGAAAAAGGAATTTTAAACAGGACTTTTAAGTGGTTGAAGAGTGAGTAGGGGGTGAGGATGTTGAGGCAATGAGAGAAGACTTATGATTGAGACTGAAAGGCATAAGAGGGATTGGGTTAGATAGACTGAGGGGTTCATACAGTCAAATGATTTTGTGAGGTGAGGGGGGAGTGTTCCTGGGCATATTTCTAGGAAGCAGAGGAGCCAGGTGCTAGGGAAAGGTTGCAGAAATGGGGCAAGTTTCCATTGGAGATGAGAGAGAGAAAATTGAGGGCACAAGTGGAAAGGCTTTAGCCTTGCCAAAAAGACACACCTCTTTCTTAGAGACTGACCCAGAGGAAGGCTGAATAGGTAAAGAGTCAGCAGAGTTTAAAGGTACGGAGTATGAGAGCCAAGGGAGTTCTCAGTAAAGTAGGAGGTACTGTCATGTGCTGAGGGACTAGGGTGTTGGGATGTTGAGGGCTTGGGGAGAACATTTGGAACAGCAATTGGAGAATTTGAATTAATAAGGGAAAAAATAAAAGGATCGTCACGTAGCAGGAAGGGCCCAGTTAATATTGAATAATGTGAATGTGTGGTGGATCCACTTGGCTTACTTCCATGACGTCCTCCACTAGTGTCCAGCAGCAAATTGTTATGACCCAGAATGAACTGGTAGGGCATGAATAGCAGCAGGAAGGGGGGAAGTGGCAGAGTGGGGGGTGTGGGTAGCCCAAAGAATTTAAGTAGGGTAGAGACAGTGAATGGTTGAACTGCTCAACTACAGGATTAAGAGGGTAAAGAGATCAAAGCAAAGGCTGGGGGAGAGAGAGAGAGAGAGAGAGAGTGTGTGTGTGTGTGTGTGTGTGTGTGTAATGATAGGGGGAGATGATTAAGGCAAGAAATATGTTTTGGAGGAGTGAGGGAGAGAGCAAGTTGGAAAGACAGGAGATTGTTATCAGAAGGGAATTTCAGAATCCAAGATCATGGAAGTGGCACAGTTTGGGATGATCATAATACTTAAAGTATGAGCATCCCCTCAAGGTGGTGGAGGTGGAGTCAAGTATATGTCAGTAGAACTGAAGTCAGAGCCCATGGTGTTCAGGGGGTGAGGAATTAATTCTATTACTGTAGGAACATAATTCATTAAGAACTAGAACCAGGGGTGGGAGTCAGTGAAGTCAGCAACCTCTAAGAGCACAACTTTAAAAGGGAAGCAATTAGGCACATTTAAAAATATATAATCGTATGTTTAAAAAAAAAAACACCAAACATTTTTACTATGCTAGCATGTCACTCCAGCCCAACTTACCCTTAGTTCTCTTGCCCACCATACAAACATTTGCCTGTCCTACCTCCTTGCCCTAACCCTCAAGACAAGTCATCTAGAAACTAGCTGTGTTCAGATTGCCATAGTCCTGATCTCATTAGCAAAAGCTTGTGCAAAGTTGTCTTGAGAAGAGATGTCAGATGGACAGAACTCTGTTTGGCAACCAGTTCAGGCTCTTTCCACCACACCATAAGACTTGGTGACTAGTGGGTCACCCATAGTCTTTGACTTCCCCCAATGCTTAGCACCTTTGAGTGACGAAGTGGGTATTCAGATTGCAAGGAAGCTACACATTTCTCCTTAAGCTTAAGCAGCCCTGAGCAATAGGCTGTTCTCTATCATATGCCTGCTATCAGAGCTAAGATTCCTTTATCACAGTGGATAAATTTCATGGTAACCTCTAACTTTAAAAAATTATTGTTTTTGCTAGTATTTTTGTCTCACTCTCCCATTCTCAACTGAACAATTAAGAAAAAGAAAACCCTCATAACAAATACATGTAGTCTAGCAAAACAAATTTCCACATTGGCCATGTCCAAAAAGTATGTCTTTTATACTGCTTTTAAATCCATCATCTCCCTGACAGGAAGTCTCCCTTAATTTTTGGGGGGACTTGGGGAAGCTCAGATAGGTTTCACCAACTCAGATAGCCAGACACCCAATCTTCTTGTCCTATATCCAGCCTCCTGTTGCAGAGGAGAGCGCTGGGTAAGGATGGAGTCAGGAGAAAGGGGCTCAAGTACTGGCTCTGTTACTACGTGAGCTGGAGTGAGTAACTTCTCCTCTTTCTGAGTCACAGTTTTCCTTCCTTTTAATTGAGGATATTGATTTTGCTTGACAAGGCATATTTGTTGCAAGTTTTCCTTTTTTTCTCTCCCAGTTGGGAGGTAGGAGGGAGGGAAAGAAAACTGATGTTCATTGGAAAAAAAAAATGAATGGCCACTCTTTCAAGTAAAAAGGATAAGACTTAGTTAGATAATCCTTAAAGTCCCTTCCAGTCCTTCCATCTCCTCCAAGAAACTTGCCTCAGACAACCACACCCCACTGTAGATCTTAGCCCCTACAGCTCCTCAGAGTAGAATTCCTTATGGTTGTACTGAGTTCTGTAAGTTTCTGGTTTCAATGTTCTTAGGTCCCATCTTCCCAGAGAGGGCCTATGTTTTAACTCTGTTCCTGGGTTTCTCCCAAAGTGCTTAGTTAGCCCAGACTTCACACACAGATACTACTGGCTCCATGGTGCTAACACACATATGCTTCTTTCATCTGCCGTATCCTGCCCCTGCCCTTGGGAGGAGGTGCTGGTGGAGGATAGGAGGAAGGAGAATAACAATTCATGCTCACAACCACCCAACTTCTGTACTAAGTCCAGTGAGAAAAGGTGGATGGAGACTGGGGAGTTTTTAGAGACTAAAGGAAAAAGAGGCAGGTGAGTTGATCAGGGAGTGCCATGGCTCCACTTTGGTCGTCTTGGAGATGGATTAAGTATACTTATGTGAAGTTAGAATGCTCTCCAGCCTTGGCTTAGAACCCAGGTCTCAAGTTTGGCCGGGTCTTCTCCCTCCTGCTTTGGGAAAAGATTCTCTAACCCCTTACTATCTTCCACTGGTGAGCCCTGTCATGGACAGACCAAAGACTGCCACTCACGATTGTCCATAGGCCAAGCTTCACCATAGTCCCAGCCCCAAATCTGCCCCCCCCAGCTTCACCCCCCAATCTCACGTTTCTAACCAATCTTAAACCTAGTCAGAATCAACCAACCTCCTTCCCAAGCGCCTCCTTCCACCCCCAACCCCTGGCTATCAATCCCTGTCTCCAAGTATAATACTCTTTCTCTTCACAGCAAGCCCTTAGGCCTCCTGAAGCTCAACTCAGACTACATTGCTTTCAGAGGCAATGATCCTTGTAAGAAGACTGGAACCTGGAAAGACTGCCTTTTGTAGGAAGGAGGATAAACGTGTAAGGCCCTCGCTTAGGTCCTCTTTCACCAGCCCACCTCATTCTTGGCCAGCAGCTGCTTTAATAAGCATTCTCCATTGAGGCATCTTATTATGTTCGTTCAAGTCTGGGGCATGAGGTTGCAGAGAAAGAGGGGTGAGGATCTAGTTCTTCCAGAACCAGACTTAGGATAGTACTGCCTAGTGACATAGAACCCCACAACTGGAAAGGATCAGAGAACACAAAACATACATTATCAGGGACTGAAGGGAGAGAGAGTGTGGTAGACAGGGGAAAAACAGTGAATTTAGAGGCAAACCACCTGGGTTCAGACCCTTGTTTGTTTGACTTACAACCCTTCTGGGCTTCTGTTTTCCTCTATAAAATAAAATGAGGGGAATGGTCAGATGATCTCCGGCGTCTCTTTGGCAGCTCCAAATCTTGGTATCCGGGCTAAAACAAGGTTAAACCTGGACAGACCAATACCAAAGACGGGACCAGAACTCTGGCAGCCAGTCCAGGTTCTTTCCACCACACATCATGCACGACCTCTTTTTACTTTGGGTCGGCATTTTCGTTGTGTTTATCAGTAAGGTGAAGCAATCCTCTTCCCGTTCTCAGGGGCAGTCTAGGGTAGCTTAGAATATTTCCTCTGGGCGCCAGTCTCCTTAGGGTTATACAATCGTATTAGGGCTATTGACTTAAGGGCTATGAATTTAAAGAATATTTTTGTAACTATTTAAATAGTTGGCTTCCTTTTAATCCCATGTATGTTATTTTACGCCTTTAAGACCATTATTCTGAGGAGGGGTTCCTAGGCTTCACCAGACTGACACAAAAAAGGTTAAGAATCCCTGCCTTAGGGGTTAGGGGACCAGTCAGTCTCCTCAAGCTCTCATCACAGGCAAATCTCAAGATGCCACGTCCTTCTTCCTCGCTCAGATCCCTGAAGATGTGGCTCCGTTGTTGTCCAGAGGGTCCTGAGGGGCTTCCCGAGTAGGAATAAGGTAGAAATGGGGAGCGGAAAAGAAAGCAGGAGGTGGAGGGAAAGAAACATGGGGAAGGACTACCCCCCGAAGGATAAAGACTCTTCATTACACTATTCCCTTCACTATTCCCTGACCTAAGAGCATACCCAATTGATTGCGTGCGGTTCAGTCCTAGGTAGAGGAAAGAGACTCCCCAGTGGGGTAAGGAGAGAAAAGTGGATAGCGAACCGACCCTTCCCGCCTGTCTGCCTCCTGGCATCAGGGAACTCCAGGGAGACAACCTAACGGGGCGGGCAAGGTGGGGGGAACCAGCGGGCAAGTGCTCTCCTTAGCCTTTCCAACAGTCTCAGGGTGGCGGGGTCCTCCTTACCTTCATCCTTTCCTGGCCCCGGCTGGGCTGGACGAAGGCGGACAGGATGAGCGGGAGAAGCCAGGAGACCTGGAAGGTTCCTCTCGCCATGGCTACGACGAAGGGGAAGCCCCGGGACTGGAAAGCGTTGCGAGCACCGCCTCCCTGGGGCACTGCGAGTCTGAAGGCTGGGCTGCTTTATGAAACTCAGCAGCACCTTCCCGACTTGCAGGAGGGGACCAATCACGGTCTGCACCACGTCTTCCCAACCAATCGAAGACAAACAGAGGTATTCGGGGACATCACTGTCATACTTCTCCGCCTCCAGCCCCAGGCGAGGCGTGGAGACCAAACTGTTGGGAAGTGAAGAGGGGTAGCTTGGTGGTGGGCTCGGGGCGCCTCGTCCACCTCAGCCGGCCCCCTGCTCATCCCCTTTGGCATTTGGAAAGAGTGGAGCTGGAATCACAAAAATTCTGCTCGTCGGGCAACGTCTCTGAGCTTCAGTTCCCCCGAATAAAATGGGGCTGTGGGAATGACTCCGCATATTCATTTTGACACCACCTCCCTACACTCTTTAACATCCAAAAATACGGGCCCCCTGGGATCTGATCTAGCGCGGTCCGCGGAAGAGAAAAAAACCAGAAAGAAGGAGACTTAAGTACACTGCTGAGCCTCAGTTTTCCTCCTCTTCAAAGATCAGGGATTGTATTTAGTAATCCCTGAAGGTCTTTCAGGTCCGACAAGCCTTAAATCTTCGCTCTTAAATCTGGGAGTTTGGTAATTTAAAACACAGAATAAAAGACCGCAGGATCGGAAGGGGCTAAGAACATAGAACTTAAAACTTCACTGGCTCCCTACTACCCACCAAAAATCCTCTGCCTGGCTTTCGAGGCTTTCCAAAACTTGGTGCCATGTCAACTTTCCAGGCTTATTTCATGTTCTTGCCATCCATGTACACTGAGCACACTCCAGTCAAAAGGGGATGCTCTCCTTGCCCAAGCACTCAGAGCATAAACCCTGCCTTGGACTTTGACCACCCTCTTCCCTGTGCCTACAAAGTCTTCCTTCTTCCTCATAACCTGTTGAATTGAGAGGCAGTAAAGCAGTTCAGGGGGAAAAAGCAAAGGATTTTGGAGTCAGAATGAAATATATCACCTACTCCTTAGCTACCAGCAATCTAGAATATTGGAGCTGGAAGGGATTTTATCAGTCAGTCAATCAATCAGTGCACGAATATTTATTAATCTATGTTCCCAGGTACTATGCTAGGTGCTGTGAATATTACAAAGACAAAAATGAAACTACTCATGTCTTCAAGGAGCTTCTTATGTTCTATGGGGGAAGTCAAAATGCATATAAGTAAATGAAGATATATACAAAATGAATACAAGCTAATTTGAGGTAGGAGGGCAGTGAAAGCTGGGAGGTGTTAGGAAAGGTTTCATATGGAAGGAGATCTCTGGAGCTCAATCTTGAAACAATGGAATCTGGGAGGTAGAAGTGTGCTCCAGGCATGGAGGACAGACTGGGCAAAAATATAGAGACGGGAGATGGCCCGTCATGTGTCAGGAATAGCAAGAAAGTCAATTTGGCTGGACCCTAGAGGGTGGGAAGAGAAGCAATACACAACAAGGCTGGAAAGTTGTGGTTGGAGTCAGGCTGTAAAAGACCTTAAATGCCAGACAGAGTAGTTTGCATTGTATTCTGGAGATCAGTAGGGATCCACTGAAGTTTTTTGAATAGGAAGAGACCCTCTCTGCTTTAGGAAACTGACTTTGTTCTTTTGGAAAGAGGAGAGACTTGAGGCAGGGAGAGTAAATAGAAGACTCATAATAATCCAGGTGAGAGGTAAGAGAGGTCTGAACTGGGGCAGTTTTTCGGTAAGTAGAGAAGAGACTGAAGGAGACAAATATTGTGGAGGTAGAAACAGCAAGATTTGGAAAGTGAGTGGTTACACCCAGTTGAGAGAGAGTGAAGAGTTAAAGATAATGCTGAAGTTGTGAGCCTGAGGGGCTAGAAAGACAGTGATACCTTTAACAGAAATAGGGAAGGTTGGGTGTAGGGAGAAAGATAATGAGTTCAGTTTTGAAAATGCTGAGTTTGATAGGTCTACAGGATATCCATTTTGAAATATCCAATAGGTAGTTCTATGGAGCTAGAGCTCTGGAATAAGACTGGAACATAGAGGTCCTGGGATCATCTGTGTAGAGATCAATCCATGTTCAATCCATGGCAACTAATGAGGCCATTGAATGGGAAGAGTGTAGAAAGAAAAGAGAAAAGGGCCCAAGACTGAGGCTTAGGGTCCCCTTCCAGTTAGGGAGTATACTATGCTTGATAAGCTGGCAAAGAAAAATAGAGTGGTTAGATTGGAGAACCAAAAGAGAACAGTGTCATGGAAACCCAGAGAAGAGATGAGGTCAACAGCTTCAGTAGTTCTACTGCTCTCACTGCACCCTCCCAACTTGACCTCCAGCAGACTGTCAATGAGAGTATGTCTAGTGGGCCCCAGCCACCTAACATCATCTTCCTGCCATGTTGCTGATGAGGTGACCGAGTGTGGAAATACATGAAAAGCCTCCTTTCTCATAAAAACTAGAAATGTTAAGAAATAATATTTCTCCGGCTAGGTAGAACAAAGCTAAGGCCTTTTTGTTTCTTTAAGGGAATTTGATTAAGCAAAGAAGAACCAAATTTAACTCTTATCAAGAGAAGATTGTTGCCCTCCCTGTCATCTGGAATGATCGGCATTTACCCCTACCCAAGGGCAGCGGCCCTTTGTTTCAGTGCTTCTCAAAGTGTGTTTTGGGACCTAGGGGTCTTCAAGATCCTTTCAGGGGATCTTCAAGGTCAAAACTAGTTTCATAGTAATACTAAAATGTTTTAATTTGGTAAATTAACATCATAAATATTAATAGATATAGCCCACATAAAAGCTCTTGGGGAGTCCCCAGTAAATTTTAGGAATGTAAAGGGGTCCTGAAACCAAACAGGTTAAGGACTGTTGCTTTATTTCAGTGAAAGGGAGGCACCCTCACTCCTATTGAAAAAAAAGATTCTCAGTATTGCTCTCCCATGGTCCCTTGAGGATGCAAGAGGGAATAGGATGTGACTTGGTTATTCAAATTTTCTAGAATCTTAACCCAAATTGTATTTTTACATGCTGTGATTTTCTTCTTTGGAATTCCTGTTACCTGAAATCATTGAGGGAAAGAGTCATGTCAGAGGGCATGGGGAATTATACCTTTTTCCAACCTACAAATGCTTGGATAAAGTTAATAAAGTTAAGTTAAATAAAATTATTTCTGGCAGACAAGCCTAAAGATGCAGTGCACAGTATTAATATTTTTTCTTCTAAAGTAGAATAAGAAGAGAAAAGCATAGGGAGAGAAAGGTAGATCACAGCTGGAAGGGAATCTAGATAGCTGCACTCCTGCATTGTACAGATGAGGAAACTGAGGTTCAGAAAAAAGAAGTAACACCTTTGATCATATATCTTGATATAATATATTTTGGAAAAAATTACAAATTATTTTTAGATTATTTGCTGTTTGGGGTTGCTCATGGTTCAGCTTGAGAGGTGACAGTCCTTTATTAGGCAGGGCTGGTCTCTGGCTCAGGACCTTCTTCTTTACTGTCTCACAATAAAGACTCAATTGTTCCTTTTGAATAAATCCACACCACCTTCCACCCTTACCCAAGAAGGGTGCTGATTTGTGCAATGTCATTTTTATCTGGAAGTCTAGTAAAAAAAAAAAAGCCCTGGTCAGGAGGCTTGGGTTCTAATATTGGCCTTTTTGTATATGACCTGGACCTCAGTTTCCTCATCTGTAAAATGGGGATAATAACCTCTCCTCTAGCTCCTGCTCTCTGATAGGGCTGTTGTGAAGAGCAAAAGAACAGATGAGATATGTGCCTTGGAAAAAGCATTATACCAATTATACCAATGTACATATTTAAAACTTTTTTTATTATGACCTTATCAAACACCAAATGTTTTAATATACAAAGAACGGAAAAGAAGATTGTGTATGAAACTGTGAGCTATTACGTAGTTTGTTTTTTGAAGTATATATTTAACACAGCAGTGAGCTTCCTTCTGCTTCAATATATTTTAAAAATATTTCATTGATGTATTTTTCTTCCTTGTCTTTTTTTTGTTTGTTTCACAATCATTACTGTCACTGCTCACTAACCCTTTATCTTCCCCCAATCCCCAGTGGAGGCCCTCCCTTATAACAAATCAATATAGTCAAGCAAAACAAATGAACACATTGGCAGTCTGAAAACACACACCTCATAAACAGCATGTAGATAAACCAAGGTTATATCGGTTCTTTTATTCTTCACTGGCTCTAGCCAAGGGTGGACCCAATTCATAAAGATTCAGGTAGTTCTCCCTAACCTTGTTCTGGAGTAGACCTAGCTCCCTTTCTTCCTCCTGCCAAACCAGTGAAGGGAGGATTGGGTCAGGATGAATTTTGACATCGTGTCTCCTATGCACACCTTTCAGACAGAGGGTTCACTGGGGAGTCAAGGTGTTGCTTGAGTCGTAGGGGATCAGGTCAGATCCCTAGAAGTTCTTTAAATATGTATATGTCTATACATACATATATATGTATATGTATATCTGCTCTACCTTGCTGCCTCACACATATGTGTGTATGTATGTGCACATACATATACGTATCATATATGGGGCAGCTAAGTGGTGCAATGGATAGTGTGCTAGGCCTGGAATCAGGAAAACTCATTTTCCTCAATTCAAATCTGGCCTTAGACACTTATTAACTTGTGACCCTGGGCAAGTCACTTACTCCTGTTTGCCTCAGTTTCCTCATCTGTAAAATAAACTGGAGAAGGAAATGACAAACTGCTCTGGTATCTTTGCCAAGAAAACTCCAAATGGGGTATGAACAGTCAGATACAACTGAAATGACTGACCAACGACATGTGTGTATATATATATATATATATATACACACACACACACACACATATATATATACGTATATACACACACACATATATACACATACACACACATACCTACGTATATACACACATACACATACACACATACATATATACACACATATAGGTATGTATATGTCTATGTATACATATATGTTTACATCAAATAAGATAGACATTTCCATATGCAAAGCAGAATAGAAAAAAAGATTACACTTGTA